CTTTGGGCTTCTGGGTGCTTTCTGGCAAAAGGGCTGAACAAGCTCCAAAGGCATCCACCCCTCCCTGAGGACCTATATAATGTCAATATCTAAAGACTGCACAGTGCTACTGTCTCTTGTTGCACAACTAGGCATGACCTTGGCACAGTCCAACACACATCCTACCGTGAGACATGATATATACTCAATTACCATGTTCAGGAAGGCATATACTTGTGCCCCAGGGGGGCTTTGGAAGCAGGAAGAGTTATGTCATCATGCTAAGTTTCCATATCTGAAGGGTCCTCAGGAAGAGATACAGCACTAGAGGCATGGCTGTATTCATCCTTGGGCCAGAGCTCAAGCAACCACTTCCATTTCTTAGGTGTCAGAGGAACAAAACATCCTTAGTTCTTCCTCTTCTTATTGTTATTCAGAAGGAGCTTTCCTATCAGACCAGGAGAAAAAGCCATTTGAAAAATAAGAAAGTGTCTTTTAACCTGTTTTTTTTTTTTTTTTTTTAAGTTCAAGAGTTAACCCCAGAGCTGTCAGAGACTCATATTCTGATTCTCTGTGTTTACAGGAATGGTTTTTGTTTTTTTTTCCCCCAAAAATCTACCGGTAAGTATGAAAGCTAGAGGAGTGAGAATTCAGAATGACTACATGGACTACGTCTGGCACCAAAGCTGGATTTTTACAGCGTTTCCTCTGCAACATTTACAGTAACTAATTGCTCACTTGAATGTTTACAGAAGCTCCTCACATGTCACTGCAGGCAAACCACAACTTCACATTTATACAACATCAAAATGCTTGGTAAATGCCTGTGTCTTTCACAGGTCATGCAATCAATTCCATTCCTTCTTAAGTATTTCCAAGGGCTTTTAAGTGTGTTGGATATTTTCCTTCATCTGCGCTTGTCTAAACTGGAAATGTTTACTAACTTCAGTCCTGATTTGTAAACTAAGGCCCTCCAGATTCCCAATTACTTCTGAGGATTCCCTGCTAAACTGAGACTCTTCTCAGCACAAGTTAATGGCATTGAAAGAGTGTCATGCTATTTAGCTCTCTCTTCTCAGTTATCTCTACCTTTTGGGGGGGAGGCAGGCCATTTGCCAGGTCTTTGAACCAGCTCTGTGCCTCATGGTTACTCTAAGCAGACTTAGGCTCAGGTTGTGCTTTCTGGCCCGTGTCTTCCCTTACAGCCCCTGGGCAGCAAGTGCATGGCATTGGGGAACTGACATGGCCAAATTCTCTTCAGACAGGTCAGTTCAGTGCAGCTTCTGTGCTGAACCACTGGGTGGTTGCAGGGATTGCTACTTTGCTGCAGCTATTGTCATTTAGCTTGAAATTAGTTATCCACACTGACATCAATGTTTCATTTTACTTCTCCCCTCAAAAGGATTGTCCCACTTCTGTCAGGCCTAGAACACTTAAATGAAAGACACTATATCCCTGTTTGCTAGTGCCTGAAGTAGTCACCTATGCAGTACTAAAAATCAAAATTATAAAACATAATTTAAAATATGTGTTACAAATATATAAACAATCACCTTCTTATCACAGACTTGAAAAGTGCAGAATTGTTTCAAACCGCCAACATCCCCACTGAACGTTTTTCAAGGACACAGTTTTTATTGAAATTTCACTTGAGTTTCAACCACAAAAATATGACAGCTTATGTTAGCCCAATCCTACCTTACATCACACTAAGGTTAATCCTCCACTCAGCTCCCTGCTGTGTGAAACTGGAGAGGTGTGCAGGGGTGTACTTCAGAACTGCCCCTCAGAAGTCCTCCTGACTGAACAAATACACTGGAAGCAGTTGTCGTACAAAACTATGCAGTCACGCACGTACCAGTGCTGGTATTTTCTGAACTTTTATCCAGAGACAGGTCTCACTTCATTCTTTTCCCCTCATGTTTCATTAGATCAGCTACAGATTTTGCTTACGCTGGCTGCAAATTCTGTTTTGACCAAATACATCTTTGGACACTCCCTTTTCCACTTCAGTTATACAAACACCCTCTGACCCAGCCCTCATGAAGTAGTCACAATAAAAAACCCATTTCCTGCCCCTCCAACCTGTTGAGGTATTTTTAGTTGAAATTGAATGCACATACCTGTGGCAGGTGAGGCACCAGTGAGAATGTGGGTGTGGCGAGACCTTTGCTTTTTTGGTGCCAGTTGCTTCTACGGCTTGTCATTCCAAATCAAGGGAGGTGGCCAGCTATCCAGGAGTCACTCCTCTCAAGGAGGCTCTGTACCCTTTCACAAGGAGCAGCTCTGCTTCTCCAATGTTCTTGCAACTGCAGGGGAGGGATACAGAATCTTTGATCCCATCAAGGAGCGAGACTGCTGCTGTTGCAGCCTGCCATATAGGAAAGAACACAGAGAGATGCTACAGACTCCAACAAGCTATTAAAGCAAACTTCGTGCTACTTCTGAAGGGAAATTACTCTGCCCTATCTCCTTCAGCAGTCCTGTGCCCTTCACATCGCCTTACAAGATTGGTTCAGGACTGACTATGCATCCCATCCATTACATAGCTGGGAATAACACTCAAGAGGTTTTCCAGGGTCCCAGGACCCTCAGAAGGATTTAAGCTTCCTGTGCTGATACTGGAACCGACCCTGTCCTGCTTGTGAAGAATAAGAAATTTTGTTGAATCACACAGCAGGACAGAAGACCAGTTGGGAGTGTTCCCTTGCTCCATGGGGAAAAAGCATTTGCATCTCTACCCACACGCTCACTCATTTTATTCCTCTCTCTCAGGTACATTCTAGGGCTGTTTCCTCTTACCTGTGGGTTTTCCCACCAAATGGCCCCATAGAATTACCATGTAGTCTATCTGGACTACAGCAAAGCCTTTGACATCATCTCCAACAGCATACTCCTGAAAAAGCTGGCAGCCCACAGCTTGGAAGGTGCACACTCTGCTGGGTCAAGAACTGGCTGGAGGGCTGGGCCCAGAGAGTGCTGGTGAACGGGGCTGCATCCAGTTGGCAGCCGGTCACCAGTGGTGTCCCCCAGGGATCAGGGCTGGGCCCAGTCCTGTTTAACATCTTTATCGATGATTTAGATGAGGGGATTGAGTCCATCATCAGCAAATTTGCAGACGACACCAAGCTGGGGGGGAAGTGTTAATCTGCTAGAAGGCAGGAGGGCTCTTCAGAGGGACCTGGACAGACTGGAGAGTTGGGCTGATTCCAAGGGGATGAAGTTCAACAAGGCCAAGTGCCGGGTCCTGCACTTTGGCCACAACCCCCTGCAGCGCTACAGGCCGGGCACAGAGTGACTTGAAAATGGCCAGGCAGAAAGGGACCTGGGAGTTTGGATTGACAGGAAGCTGAACATGAGCCAGCAGTGTGCCCAGGTGGCCAAGAAGGCCAGTGGCATCCTGGCCTGGATAAGGAACAATGTGGCCAGCAGGACCAAAAAAGTGATTCTTCCCCTGGACTCAGCGCTAGTCAGGCCACACCTCAAGTGCTGTGTTCAGTTCTGGGCCCCTCAGTTCAGGAAGGACATTGAGGTGCTGGAGCAGGTCCAGGGAAAAGCAACGAGGCTGGTGAAAGGACTGGAGCTCAAGTCCTACAAGGAGAGGCTGAGGGAGCTGAGGTTGTTTAGCCTGGAGAAGGCTCAGGGGAGACCTCATCACTCTCTACAACTACTTGAAAGGACGTTGTAGCAAGGTGGGTGTTGGTCTTTTCTCTCAGGTAACCAGAAGTAGCAGAAGAGTCTTAAGCTCTGCCAGGGGAGGTTTAGGGTGGATATTGTTTACAGAGAGAATAATCAGACATTGGAATGGGCTGCCCAGGGAGGTGGTGGATTCACCATCTCTGGAGGTTTTTAAGAGGAGATGGATGTGGCACAGAGTGCCATGGTCTAGTAAATATAGCAGTGTGGGATCAAGGGTTGGACTTGATGATCCTGAAGGTCTTTTCCAATGTGGCTGATTCTGTGTTCAAATTTCTGTGCTTCCACCCCTGCCCCTCTGTGCTAGAGGGAAATGGAAAATACACACTTCCTGCTTTACAAGAATGCTCTTAGCAGTCAACATATCCAAGATTTCTTCATTTACTCTCTGCCACTGATTTTGGACAACGTTAGAGCTATCAAACTTGAAGATATTTGGGAGATTTGAGTAAACTGCTACAAAATAAAAAGGACAAAGTGAGAACACTGGCACTCTTCCTGCATCAGAGAGTACATCTGTTCCTTATGAAGAAACAGACCCATTTTTTTTTACATTTTTTTTCAAAATGTGCTGCCCCTTGTATGAAAGCATAAAAGCATTCTGACTAGCATACAAGTGTATACTAGATTCATCCTGACAATTTGGAATAACCACTGTATTCATCTTGACTACTGCAATAGTTTCTACTTTCCACCTAGATCTAAAAAAGACTATTGTGAACATCATTTTTCATGTAGCAGAAAATCCAGTTAATGGACTTTGAATTTTCATGTTGAGTGATATGGAGGAGCTTTTCATTCTCTGCCTACCAGGAGAAACGTTGTCCAGCTTGAAATTTTTTACTGCCAATGAGAACTAGCACTAACCTGGTTAGATATGAAGGTAAGTACACTTATCCCATTCTTGCAAGAGTCTACTTATATGGCATGGAACTCTGCCTAACACAGAGAAATAACTAGGGAAACAGAGCTTCTATGATACCCGTTTTTCTTCACCATCTTGCTTGTGAGCTGCTTTCCTATGTTAATACCCCCCTCTTGTGTTCGTTTACAAGTACTACAAGAATCAGCAGCAAAAACCCCACCCAAAACCCAGACCTCTTCTTGTATCCTGTCAATCATTACACATTCTGGAGGGAATTCCAAGCAGTAAATAGCCTCATCCTGCCGAAACTGATGCTCCCGTGCTGGGCCACTTTTCTGCTGACATATCGAAGGTATTCATGTCACATGTGAATTGCTAAGATTGACCTAAGAAGAAAACCTGGCAGAGCAAATATACAAACCGAACAAAACAGGTCAGTGAAAAAACAAGGAGAATCAGGTAGCTTTAAAATTAACCAAAATATATTTGGAGTTCTCCACATAACACATCCCTGTGAAAAGTCAGTCGTTTAACTTTTTCTCACAGATCTATCTGACCCCAGATGCACTCAGTGAGATTGGATAGTGAGACAGGCTGCAGCAGTGCAACAGCTGCACTCACACTGCACTTCTTCGTGAATGAGCAGGGTCAGACCACAGCTGCTTACAAGTCCAGAGGTGACAGTCTCTGATGATGTCTCTGAACGGAAGATTGGTACTACGGTACCACAATGGTCCAAGCTCAGTCTGCAGCTGGTGAAGCAGAAGAGTTGTTGTTTTCCTTGCGGACCACCCAAGTTCAATGTAGTTTTGAAAAAAAATCCATTAGAGATGGCTTGGTAGACCATTTTTGCCAGCTCATACAGCCATGAAGAGAAAAGTTAAAAAGTGTTCAAATACCAAACTAGAAGGTTTTCCTTTTCTTCTTCTTCCCACCTGCCACCTTATTCCTGACACCAATAGCTTCTTCTGTGTCATCATCATCATTCCGAGATCGCTTCTTCTCTCCCTGCTCCCGCAGCTCCTGCAATGCAATCAACAGATTGACCCAGAGTTTTGGTGCCTGAGGAAATTCAGATTACAACAGCGAGCAGAGGGACAAAAAGTCAGCACCCACCATTCGAGCAATTCTCTGGGCCTCAGCCACACGCTCTGTGAGCATCATAACTTCTTCCTCTTGCATGGGGAATGCCGGCAGCTTTTTGCCAATCAGGTGTTCAATGCGCTGGAATAGCTCCACATCATACCTGCGAGAAGACAAGACACCAGCTTGAATCAGTCCTACTGAGAGTGCTTCAGCTGTCACCACTCACAGAATTCATCCTTTATCTCCAGCCCACAGATAAGCTGTGCTCGTGGTCTCACAAGCAACTCAACTGCATCTGAATGATGCCATTGTTTGGGGTGGCTTCTCTGATTTATTCAGCTCATCTCTTTTCAGAAGGATTTGAAAAAGACTTTTTTAGACAAACGGTTCAGTAGTTATAAACACCCCCTGCAGTTACTTAAGCTGTATTATGTATTATAAAAATGTATATATATTATACCATTCAGTTATAAATTACATTACATGCTCATTACAAGCCTGCTTCTAGAATTTCTCTACACCTTTCTCCCTCCCTACCCTGGGCTTTGAATTCTCTCCCCTTTAACTAAATAAAACCAGCTGGCACCTCAAAATGAAAAGTAGTATTTTCTTCTCATGCAGGATGAGGTCAGGTATTTTCTGCTCTGAAATAGAGCTGGAAAGAATAAGTCTGCCAAATTTTAATACTTACTGTGTGACAAAGGTGATAGATTTGCCAGATCTTCCAGCTCGAGCTGTTCTCCCAACACGATGAATGTAATCCTGAAAACAATTTGCTTGATAAGCAATAAGATATGTTCACCAAACACAGAACAGACGTCATGGCAAATCAGCCTATATAATTATTCTTCAGGAAAGAACAAGAAAATGGGAAGAAAATACTCCAGGATTAAACACTCAGGACCATGTGCAGCATCAGAATTAGAGAAGATGTTGGCTTGTTATGGCGTTTCTTTGGTTTTAACATTTGAATTCTTCTCTTTCTAAAGGTGAAGATCAACTCCATTTATTCCAGACTGCAGGCCAAAAGTTGCAATACATGACCTTGCTAAGACTTCACTATCACTTCCTTAGAAAACTAATATTCACAGTGAGCCCATGCCTACATTTTCAGTCTAGTGCTCTGCATAGTCTATCTTTCAGAGACACTCTCAAACAAGTAGATTTAAATTTGGCAAACACAGTGAAAAGGAGGATGATTGAGAATAATTTGGAAGAGCCTGATCTATTGAGCATCTTCTGTTAATAAGGTTCTAGGCTGTTTTCCAGGTTTTATACTGCATTACAGAAATTAAAGTGCTCCCTTCTCCATACAGGATCTGTGGAGAAAGAATCATGAGAAAGGATGTGTTCTGTGACAGGGCTAGATGAGAAAGGAGAGCACAAAAACTGCAGTAAGATCATTTAAGCTGCTGCCACCTCCATTTTTTTTCTTTACGTTTGTCCTTTTACAACACCAAAAGCAGTTCTTCGAAAGATCACGCTTTCTTATTTTTCAGGGTATAATATCTTTATCACTGTAAGCAACAACAGCAATTCCTGAAATGCATGTTAATGGTATGCTTTCTGGAACAAGGCTGAGAGACAGTCACATCTCTGACATAATCCTATACTTTCTGTAAGACAGTTGGTAACTCACTTTTTTTTCATTTGCTGTACTTCTGTGATATGAAGGTGAAACATAATGTGAGTCACCTCTCTTGATTAAATGCTCACTGAACATAATGGGAGAATTTTTTTTTTTTTAAACACAGTTTAAAATATGAAGGCAGACCTGGAGCACAGGAACACGTTAGGCTAGTAATAAGTTAAAACTGTTTTCAAAGCCCTTTAATGCAATACGGCAAAACACATACCCTGAACAGAAATGCAAAGACACAGAATGTTCCTCACTTCCCCTCTTCACGTATGGGATCAGTTCTACAATCCAGATGAGGCCATCCACCCATGAGATACCAACTCAACTGCAGAGGTCGAACTACACCTTCTAATCTACAGAAGTGTGAACTAGGCTTCCAATCAAAAGAACAGAAAAACGATGTCTTTGTTCCTTTGTCTACCTTCACTATGCTCCAGGTGACCAGAGGCTCTCAGCAGACACACAAACTTACCTTAGAGTGTGTAGGAATGTCAAAGTTTATCACGACATCTACATGTGGTATGTCCAGACCTCTGCTTGCAACATCAGTAGCCAGCAGAATAGAACGTGCCTTTGCCTTGAATTTGTTTAGAGAACCCAAACGTTTGTTCTGAAAGAGGACAAAAATGGAATTAGAGAGTAACACTCATTCTAGTTAATATGCTCCAGTTGAAATACTGGTACAAAAGCACTAGGGGAAAAGCTACTCAAAAATCTCACTTCTCTAATTTCTTTTTGAAATATTACAGAATCAATGGCAGCATTCACATTAGTTAAATCTTCAGAGATCAGTCTAGTCCACTAGCTGTGAAGTACTCCTTCTGCAAGGTAGCTGTCACTCAGTATGGTGCTGCCCATTTCCCAAGCCACAGGTCTCCTGTCTGCTCCATTCTGTAGGGTAGTGCCCATACCTGACTCATCTGCCCATGGAGAGGAATGGCAGTGAACCCCAGGTTGCGGAGCAGTAGAGCAGTCCTTTGAGTATTGTTACATGTACTACAGAATATCATGAAAGAGTTACCAGCTAGTTCATTCAAGATATAAACCAGGTAGCTGTCCTGTAAAGAAAGAAGAGAGAGAATTTACACAAAAAATTGAAATAATCACATGTGCAACATTAAAGACTAAGTCTAAGCTACAGAAGATGACAAGATACTGGGCAGATGTTGGAACAAGACAAGATGCAAGGAGATAAGGGAAGAAACAGAAGTGGCATTACCTTAAATTTTGAGGGAATGAAAATATAGTACTGCTGTAGTTTTTCAACTGTCTGATACTTGGAAGAAACAGCACATTTAACAGGATTCTTCAGAGCTGCACGTTGGAGTTTTTGAACCTGGTAAGATCAATGCAAGTTGTAACTGGATGGACAGAGATCTTGTCAGAAACCTATATTATACAGTTTAGTCAACAGGATAGCCTGATAGAAGAACTAAAGCAGAGTACTCTGCTCTCACCTTCTTGGTCATGGTGGCAGAAAACAGAAATGTCTTCCTATCTCGAGGAATCACTTTTAGTATCTTATCCACCTGTAAAAAAGAGATAAGGAAATGGAAATACTGAATATTGTGAGCAACTAAGACGCAAGCCTCCCCCAAATATAATGATCATCCACATGAAGAGTAATGCATGTGCAGACATACAGGAGGAACAGATTTTTCCTCTTCTAAAGGGAAGGTGTAGGCTTGTTGACAATTAGGCAGTGTGAATTCCAGAAGTCCAACAGCAGTGCAAATATCAGGCAATGTTTCTGCAGGAATGTGTGAGTGATTGTGTTCTACATTAACTGTGTCCACATCAGGCAGTCCACAGAAATCGGTAGATTTCAGAGACAAAATGCCTCCTACTGTCTTGACGATGCTCTGCAGAACTCCACTCTGTTCCACTCCACTTCCACCACAGAACTTTTGTGTAGCTATTAGATCTTAGTTACAGTTTGCTCATAATTTCTAGAGGACAGCTCGGTGTTTGCTATGTGACTGTATGAACCCATTTTAAAGGGACTCATCTGGTGTTCCAAACTCTTCTTTCAGCAGATTCCTACCTCTGTCTCGAAATCCATGTTAAGAATCCGGTCAGCCTCATCCATCACTAGGAACTTCAGAGCACGTAAGTTGAAGCCCTTTGTGTTCTCCAGATGATCAACTAGACGGCCAGGGGTTGCTACCAACATCATGAGAGCAAATTGAATTAAAGCAAAGAAAAAGTAAGATCCAAACAGGCAAGACAGTCATTCACTACAGAAATAGAATTTTTTGCCCAAGAAAAGTAAAGGCAGATTGCTTTGTGGGAATAACTCTTTCATAGGATATCTTCAGAGAGTGTTTTGAAATACGACTAATGGAGTCAGACCCTCAGAAGAATGTCCTCCCCCTAAAAAAACGCAACACAAACCAGATTGTAGATGAGCTGCACTGCGAAGGATGAGACCAGGATTTGAAATACTTGAGGAGAATGAAAAAACAAGCCAAAGGAGGTCTTGCAGGAATCCTTTGAAATGAGCTTGTAGCAGCAGTTACTGGTGTATACTTTAGAAACATTAACAAACCAATACCTAGATTTCAGGACAAAAGCAAATGAAGGATGTACTCTCACAAAACCTTCTGGCTGTCTCTCTTTGTGTAACTGCAGTTCGATAATATTCATACTCCATATCCCCAGCACATTAACTTACCAATTATAACATGTGGTTTCTTGGCTAAGGCCAGCGATTGAGACATTGTGTCAATTCCACCTACAATAACAGCTACAGGATAAACAGAATACAGTGAATCCCTCAGTGTAGCACCAGCCAGCCACTGGCTGTGTTTACACCTACTCCCTACCACCCACAACAATGCTGTACAAATGAAAGACTACTTATTTTTATGAGAATTGATAAGAATTCGCTTAACTGTATGGCATAAGAGACCTGGGAAGGTCAGGTATGCTAAAATAAAGTCCTTTATGGACTGGCCCCAGGTATTTTATTTTCACAGGCAGAATCTGTTCCTTGTAGCTTAACTCAGCTAGAAAAATCTAGAAATTCTAAAAATACCCATAAAACTATTACTATTGGTAGTAATATAATAATAACAACAACAACAATCATGGGAGTATCTAAAGAATCCATACAGACAATCTGAAGGAAAGATTAAACTACATCACACTATAGCGGGGAGCTCTATGCAATTTCACTGGACACAAACCTAATATTGAGAACATTCCCTTTTACTTCCATCTTTAACTGTTTAGACATAAAACGCAGAAGAGCCACAGACTCCTCCAATGAGGAAAGACCACAGAGTCTTTTGCAAACCTGATACCAGATCCCTGTCTGGGGTCACAAGCTTTTCTCACTTTTTGTTCAACCCTCCATACAAATCCTCTATTTTTAACTTTGCAATCCTGACCTGACAAACTTCAGTCTTCAGAAAAACTGGTCCAATATCAATAAGCTACTTACTAGTTTGGACACCAATGGAGGATCCCAGAGCTTCAAACTGCTCTGAGATCTGAAAGGCCAGCTCCCTTGTTGGTGTGAGGACAAGAGCAAACAGCCGCTGAGGTGTTTCCAGCAGTGCCTGAAGAATTGGCAAGGCAAAAGCTCCTGTTTTTCCAGAGCCAGTTTCTGCCAGTCCAATGACATCTCTGCCTACAAAGAGCAGCAAGGAAGGTAATAAACTGTTACATATCTAGAACAGAGAAAGAAGCCTTTAAAGCACTGCGCAATAAAGCACAAGAATTCCCTAAGGACAGAGAAAAAAGGAAGACACACAAGGTAAAAAAGAACAAGGGATCAAACCAAAGAATTTCTGTACAACTCTGAAGCATTTTTAGACTTCATTTGTGCAATAACTGCAGTCTCAATACTCAATTCTCTAATTAAACTTCTGCTAATATACAGGGTTTCATACAAACTTTAAAATAAGCTTTATTTTGTCTCAAATTTGCCTGTCGATTTACAGCTTAATGGCTCTATCTTGATATTCTAGTCCAAATGCAGTCTGTTTACTGGCTTACAAGGAAACAGACTCCAGTGTCTGAGACTGGCACAGGAACTACAAGACAATAGCACCACCAAACTCAAATTTCACAAACCACAATTGTGCCATTGATTAATAAATCTAAATCAGTTTGAAGCAGGAAGAGTTAGAACAGCAAGTCCTTTGCCCAAAAACTGTGCAGGCAACAGGGTGGAATTAATCAGTAGACCTCCTGAGCTTGTACAGTTCAGAAGAACATGCCACCAACCTTACACTAAAGACAACTTCTCAGGAATGCAGTCTTACTTTTGGTTGGTTTCGGGTTTTTTTCCCCCCAAGAGAACCTTATATGTGGAATAAAAGAGTCTGACAACAGTTAAGTACTAGGGCAGAGTAAATACTGAAAGTTTGTTCCAATTCTGTCACTACATTGTTCTGTTCCTGCTTCACAGTATTTTGGGGAGTTTTGTTTTAAAATAAAACCATTCTAGAGGCAGAAATGTTTGCTGAATTCAGAAATTTATTTTCTTGTAATTCCAGGGTGCTTAGAGAAAGTCACTGTAGTTTGGCTATTACACACTTCAGGAATCTAATTTCAAAGAATTGCCTGCTCACAGCAAAGCAGATCATACATGCTACAGGATCAGCCAAGGTTTCACACACACACACACACACACACACACACACACACACACACACACACACAGACTGTGTCTGAGACTGTAGGTCTCTATCAGAAGAGGCACAGTCCAAAACCTACTGGAAACCTCCTGTGTATCCTTGGGTACTTCAGAAAGAAAATGGTCAACTCAGACTAACAGCTCAAATGATTCATAATAATTCTATATCAGAACTACACAACAAGAGTGAACATGCAATAAACCATGTTTGTACCCACTTGAAAGTTTGGATTGTGGGCAGTGTTATAGGATAAACTAGTATTCCAAGTGCCACATGAGTAGGATGCAGAATGAACACAAAGACTACTTCTAGACAGAGATCCTCAACGATGAAGAAGTTGGGACACACTCATCCCTGCCCCTTCTCACTCAGTAAAATTCATTCACATAGAGCTCCTGGAACATTCCTCAATTCAGGACCAAAGAAGCACACTGCTCACCTTGGAGAGCCACTGGAATAGCCTCAACTTGGATCTTCGTTGGCACCTTCCATCCCAACTGGTCACAAGCTTCACACAGCACATCTGTCACTCCCTGAACATTAGTGAAAAGACAAAAGGGAAATAGACATCCCCAAGAAAACGTAAATTAAATCACAGACTAAAATTAAATACATGCTGCAACAGAGCCAAGCTTGTCTCTAGTACAAACCAACCCCATCATGCCCCCAGTTCAACCAGCTGAAAGGGCAGGCTGCCCACAGTGATCCCCACCTCCATCGGTAACTTCGTAGGATTTGTTCAACACAGTTAGAAAGGACTGTCATCAGGAAGAAAATAGTCTGTTTTACCCTAGTTTACACATGTAACTTTACACACACACAGAACTGTCTCTCGTCACCTCAGGGGGTGTCCCATGGGCATGGGACACGAAAAACGCCAGCGCAATTTAAGAGAACCGCAAATACAGGCAGCTGGCTGAGGAGAGCTGATCGGAGCAGCAAAGGCAGCCTGTCCCGGCCAGCGGCGCGACTCCCCATCCCTCCTGCCCGGGCACAGCACCGCCGCTCCCGGATCGACCGCCCGCACGTGTCCGCCCGCCGCCCACACGGCGCTGCGTGGGAGCTCCCCACGGCCTGAGCTGCGCGCCGGGGGCCGGGCGGTGCCCCTCGGGACGGGAGAACGAGCACCGGGGGCAGAAGCGGTTCCGTCCCAGCCTCACCAGGTCCTTGAAGCTCCGCAGCTCTTCCACCGCCGCCTCCGACTCCGTCCCCGTCCCCGTCCTCGCCCCCTCCTCCTCTCCCGCGGCCATCTTGGACCGTCCCCGCCCGTGGCGGCGCAGAGCACGCCGGGAGCTGTAGTCCTCCGCCGCGTGCGATGGGATTTGTAGTTCCGCCGAAAGAGCCCGCCGGAGCGGGCGGATTTACCCGAACCCCGCGGGGTCTCCAGGGAAGCGGGACTTGGGGATCTATAGCCACCTGTCCTGGGACAAGAGCTGTGTGAAAACCTTCCTGCCCGGCATTGACAGCAAGCGGCTAAGCCTCAGGCCCGCAGCTCAGCGCTGCACTGCTTAGGCAGTGGGTGATGGTGCTCTGCGCTTGTACGTTCTACAGTTGGGAGAGAACAAGGTAAAAGGAGATGAAAAATATACGACAGTACAAGAATATATATAAGCTTGCATATAGAATACATATGAAGAGCAAATTAACTTCTTCAAAAGTGTTGGTATGAAACATTTTGAAGCACTAGCAAAGGGAAAAAAGAAAAGAACTGTCATTATCCTACCTTGTTTTCCTGTTTATGGTAATTGCCAGTGTGAATTTCTGAAGTGCCAGAAATACAAAATAAAGTGAACTATGGCAACTTACAGCATAAAATGAGATAATAGGGGGTGAGAGTAGATGTAAACCCTCTCCCAGCTCTCTTGACCACTGCTGTTGTGACTCAGGCCTGCAAGCGCTCAGTGAGAGGTGAAAAAGATGATGCATTTATTGACCTTCCAGGGAGCGCAGCATCAAAATGTCATGTCTTGATGGAAGTTTCTGGGATCTGGTTTCCATGTGCTCTGGGTGTAGCCTCTGATCTGTGTCCCAATGCTGATTGCAGCAGGGCAACCTTGCAGCTAGGGGAGTTTCCTTTGTTTTAGGGAAAAGAAAGATAACCTGTGCTAGAGCTCAGGCCTCAAAAGGACAGCAGAGCTGGCTACAAAACAAAACTCATGACTGAATGCCTGAGCAGGCCTCCCTCTCTCTGGGAAGGCCATCTGGGTGTACTCTCAGTGGAAATGCTGATGTACTTGGGCATGTGTCACTGGATTCCAAGCGTGGCATTTCCTCTGCTCCCAGAACAATGAGGAAAGTGAGAGACAATATGAACAAACTCTCTGCATGACATGGAAAGGAGAGGAAACCTGAAACAATTCATGGGCAGGAGTGGAAATGAAACTTCTGCATCCCACAGTGCTCAGAAGCAATGATTTTAAAATAATAAATTAAAACAAACAAAAATAAGCACCCCATGTAGATGTGACCACGTTTCAAAAATTACAGCAGTCTGAGCTATGAACTTACTATATATCATTAGTGCTAAAGGCTAAGCCTGGCTGGCACTTTTACATGAACCCTTGTAAGGGTCACTGGGATGCCTCAGGAAACGGAGGAAAGGATGTGACAGGAAGTCACCGCTTGTGATTCTTTGTTGAACTCACTGCCCATATAATATGATGCTGTTTTAAAGGGGAGGAAGGTGGAGCAATTCTATTCTGGTGAAATTCCAGTTTATGTGATTCCCTTTTGTAAATAGATGTATTTGAATGAGAGTTTTCTCCTGTCCTAAACTGCTGTTGGGAGCATTCATGTGTGATAAAATATATATGTAGCTTCTAAACAGTAATTTCTGTTTTGTGCTTTTCAGCACAGGACACTCTAGATTATACCAGATTTAGAAATTTTCACTCCAGGGCTTCTAAGCTTGGCTTTTGACCAAATATGCTCCTAAGTCTTTTGCATGTTACAGCTCAGTCTCCCCTGTGGGGGACAGGGCCAGAGCATCTGCAGCAGACAAATTTCAGTGCAGATACAATGTCAGCTATTTCATAAGGGATGCATAATATGACAAGATGGACAGTGCGTACAGTAGGTCACAGTTAATGGTAATTGGTCCTGTCTACCCACTGGAATGCCCAGAGAGAGGCTATTGGGATATCCTGGCTCCGTGCTTGCACTTGGACTCCTTTGTCATGGACATCTTATGCTTTCAAAGCATACTATAGGGCTTTGCATTGAAATGATATTTGCATTCCTGCTTCACCATTGAATTATTCCTCCCTGCAACAGTTTCAATTAAAGGGGAGTAAAAATGGCTTCAGGAGGCCAGGCTTCATTGTTGCTAGCCCAGGCTAAACATCAAATCACATATATACTGTTCTCCTCCTGCCGCCTAGCTTCCAAAGGAAGAGTTCCACAAGCACATCTACTACGGAGGGTAAGTAACATAACTACTAGCAAAAAAGTTGCTTATAGAAGACACTTCCCCCAAATGTTGCTTGTGACTCTAAGAGAGTCTCAGTACTGGAATTAATACTAGTACTGGAGTGGGTGTGCTCTGTCCCAGTCCAGATCACTCACTTGCTTTTTTGGTACCATCTCTGGTGCTCCTCTGACCCATCAGTGAGTTATTTCAGGGAGCAAAAGGAGTAAGAAATTAATCTTACTCCCAAATATGGTAGATTTCTGCCAGCACAGTTCCTAAAGCTGGCTCCTCTGGGCATCACATGAGATCCATTGCTGACTGTGTGGACAGAGGATGGCATGTCCAGAGCTGGGTGAGGAGGATCTGACCACCTCCTGCCCTGCCTGCTGACAGATCAAGTGTAGCTGAGGTGTGAGGGTGCAGCTTTAGATTTGCAGCATCACCTGGCTTAGAAGGTGTCCAAGAGCACTGGGCAGGTTTTGGGACAAAGCAAGTCTCACAGCTCCTCTGTCTTGTGTAGGATTACATATCACCAAGCCTGTGGGCCCCACTTTCTGCCTGACCCTCCCTTTGTGTGTTCCCAGCAAACAAACCTGGAGAGGGGAGTGGCTGAGACCTAGCCAGGAGAGTGTGGTACCAAGCATATCAATTACACTTGCATAGCAGCACTGTGTAACAACCCAAATCCTGATTTGGAGCCAACAGTTAGCCTTGTGAAAAACTGAACAGAAGCAGGATTATTTGCCTGTGTGGTGGAGAACGGAAGCAAAAGTATCTGATTTGTTCCCAGCTGCAGAAATGCTGGCTGTGATTGCAGTGAGGGATCGTGCTGAGCAGAGCAAACCAGCCCCGGTGAAGCTCTAAGCTATCAAGTGCAGATCCCTCTGCCAATCAGATTGGTCCATTCAGAGCTGTTGTTTCTGTGTTGTTTCCTGTGTGGACAAAACTGCATTTCCAGAAAACTAGGGAGCAGGTAGGATAAGTATATGTTACATTATTGTCTCTGTGATGATAAAACCAGAAGTATGTTAAAGTTGTAACTGGTCTGATAGAGTTAAGATGGAGTTATTGAGTAAAGATGGAGTCATTGGTGATAAGCTGAAGCATTAGGAAAAATTTTGCATTGTGTCTGCCTTTGCATAGTGTGCAGTTCACACTCTAAAAACACAATTATGTGCTCACATGAATGTATCTCAGTGTTTGCATATCAGAGCCCAAAATCCTCAGTGTACATAGGCAATGTGCATACCAGCATGTGCACTCACACAGACATAAAAACATACACTCATACACAAATGCCAGCTATGTCTGACATGGAGCTGATGACCTCACTCTTGTCCTTGCCTTCTGAACTGCTCATATTGATCCCTGGCTTCAATGTCTGGGGCATGAAAGCCAGTGGGCAGGATGGCGATCACATGCCGGTGTGCAGAGAGACACTGACACAAAAGTGCTTCATATTCATTTAATTGAATCAGCAGTGTACTTGTTCATTTCTGGTAAACAGGCACAGGTATTATAAGCATCTGAGTCACACTCTGAGGGACCAAAGCTTTTTGTTCTTCCTATGTATAAATGCAAATGTTGATGTAATGAGAATAAGAGACAAAAAGAGCAAGGATTCAAGCTTTGTGAGCTGGAGTCTTGCTGTTCCTAAGAATTTGGTTAGGGTTACAGAATTACATAGTGGGTTCTTTGATCATTTTGATTCATGCCTGTGCAGGGAAGTTTCACTTTTCTACTGGGGCATGCTTTTGGAGGTGGAGTTATCCCTGCATTAACTCTTTTGTTGCCTCAAGCTAGTTTCAGGGTCTCTTCCTTGTACCTCTTCTAGGTACTGACATGATCCCCATCATCACAATACTTGAGCGCTTTTTGGTCTTTGTCCCAGAAACATTTTTGTGAGGTAGGGAAGTGCTACTATCCCCATTTTTAAAGAGGGAACTGAGATACTGAGGGGTCAAAAATCACAAAGGGCATATTTAGTGGAACAGTCACTTAAAACAGGGTCCCATTCCTTGTTCCTGCTCCTGCTCTGCCACTACTCCTCTGTACCCCTCTTGAATATTAGTACCAGTATATATTTCTCTAACATGAAGCCTTCCCTGGGAAGCATTGCTAGGAGTATGTGTAGTTCTCCATGAGTGCTGCCTCCTTCCTCACAGATAATCCACTGTGGGTCTCACTGGCTGCTTGACTGCATGGAGACTGACACCTCCTCCTCTCTGATGTGCTCCCATCACAGCTGGGCTCCAGCTCAGACCAGTAACATCAACCCACGCTTCCCTTCCTGCTGCAAGAGTTGTAACTGCTTTCTTCTACCCATGTCCTAAGGCAGACTCTGATCCCAGGGTCACTGACCTGTTTTTCTTTCTGTTCCTCAGATCTGCTGCCACCAGTTGATCATGTTTCACCTATTTTTTAACTATCACCACTGAGGTCTTGCTTTCCTTTTCCTACAGGGACTTGCCCTCCCTCACAGCCAAGTAGCAGATAACTTGCTCTCACATGCCACAGACTTGCTTTCACTCTAAGAACTGCTTTCCTTTGGAGCAGAGACGTCCCTTTTAAAGAAAGAACTATATACACCCTTAAATACAATATAAAAACCTTAAAATAATACTGTGTAAATAAATAGAACACAAACATCACAATTTGCAGTCTGGAGAGGTTTCTTCAAAATGGATAACTAATTCTGGCCCTGCTATTTCACCCTAGGGTGATGAACCATCCATACAGTCTGTCATATCTGGAGCTGCTTCTTCCTACAGCCTTTCCAGATGTACCTTGGTAATGGGACTGTATTCTATAGGAAATTGGCAGCTGCTGGCTTTTTTAGGGTACCCCAGTCCTTGTACCACTCATGGATTCATAAC